AATCACTTTTAATTTGTTTCCAGGCCAATCATTCAACGAAGCCTCTTACTGGCAACATTAACAGTAGATTTTGTATGCTTAGCAGCCACAATGAAAAAAACAACACAAGATTAAATCAAGCACAAGAGAAAATGATATAATCAGAGATGTAAACACAAGATATACGAGGCTGCTGCTGGTGTAACACAGCATACTGTTTTACAGCAAATACTTTTTTTATAAGTAGAAAGAGTGCACTCTAAAATAACAACAATAAGTGTAGTATAGTAAATACATAAATCAGTAATATAGTCATTTATTATGATTATCAAGTGTTATGTACTATACTTAATTGTATGTGCTATACTTATACATGACTGACAGTGCAGTAGGTTTGTTTATACCAGTATCACCACAAACACGTGAGTAATGCATTGCACTATGATATTAGGGTGGCTATGATGTCACTAGGCGATAGGAATGTTTCAACTCCATTATAATCTAATGGGACCACTGTCGTATATGTGGTCCATCGTAGACTGAAACGTTGTTATGCGGCACATGACTGTAGGGAATTTTTCATTTCAGTTATTGTACTTCACAGCCTCAGAATTTCTTCTTTTCCTCCTCCCCCTCCTCCTCCTCCCCCTCCTCCTCCTCCTCCTTCTTCTTCCTTTTCCTCTTCTTCTTCTTCTTTTAGGCTTTCCATCTCTTTTTTGATGTTTCCATTTTGCTCACGCATCACTTTCTTGACTTTCTCTACATCTTCCTTTAGTTCTCTGAGTATCTTTTAAGACAATTGTTTTGAAGCCTTTGTCTAGTAGATCTGCCATTGATCTTTTCAGGACAGCTTATGTTGATTTACGTTTTCCTTTGGATGGCCATATTTCCTGTTTCTTTTTATGCCTTGTGATTTTTGTTGAACGCTGGATATTTGAGTCTAATATTGTGGTGACCCTGGAAATCAGGTTATTCCTCTTCCCAGGGTTTGCTGTTTTGTGTTATTTTGTTGTTGTTGTAGGCTGTCACTGTGCCAGGCATTAGCCTGAGGTACATAAACTTAAGGTCTTCTCAGGTGTTTTCTAAGCAAGTGTTAATTTCTAATTTTCCTTGTGTATGCAGTTTTTTTTAATGTTCTAATCATTAATGTCTAACTTCCAAAAGAGGAAAAAAAGAGAAAAATTAAGAAGGAAAAAAGGGGCTCTGGCCCTTTAAATCCCTTAGCAGTCATTTCAGTCAGAGAGGAAGGGGCTTGCAACAATGTGGGTGACGTGCAACAAAAGTGGCTGCCCATTTGGTTGTCTGTACCTTTGAGATCAGAAGCAACAATCAGTAATCAGAGCACAGATCTCTCATATTTGAAGTGCAGTGTCCTTTTTGCCCACCTTGGCTCCTGCAAGCTGTGTGCAAGCCACTTCAGGAACACATGCACAGCTGCTTGCCATGAAGCTGGGGGTGGGGAATGGTAGCTGCTCCTGGGCTAAGAGCTCAAATTGACCGAAGTTAATCACAATTTACCACCCAAGCCTTCCCCTGGAAATTGCAGTCCTTCAATAGGCTCCAGAGTTCCAAAAGAGTTACATCAGACAGACTCTGCCAGTGCAATTGTTGTCTAGGTGCAGAGACAGATTCCTGGTGCTTGCTTCCTACTCCACCACCTCCCCAAATCCTCTCTAACCTCTTATTGTTTTGAAGTCATTAGACTTTTCAGACTTGTTCGTTTTGCTGGTAGTCATGGTTATCTGATTCTACCAAGTCAATACTTTCTATTTTTACTAAGATCATGTCATAAAAAAACATTGCCAAGCACATATAACCATGATCAAAACTTCTTCCCAGGTATATTTCCTACCATATTGTTAACTAGAAAACTCTCTTCCTTAAGACAATGAACTTTCTTCTTTGTCAGTATTACCATAAGGCTGCCAACAGGGAATTAAGCACCATCCTAATTCTTACAGGAATCGAGGCTTGTCTGTTAGTGTATGGGTTCAGTACTTTTACTAGTAATTGTCCAGAGTATCTGTTAAGTCATCTTCTATGTGGTCATTTTTAGGCCATTACTTCTTAGGGGTCAAAGTCTATGTTTTTGGTTTCCTTTGTATGCATTCAGCATAGTATCACTCATAAATGTTTGATATTTTATCTTTAAAGTGAAAACCCCCCAAACATTTACAAAAGAATAATGGATGGCATAATGAGCCCTGGTGTACCCATCACTCACTTTCAACACTTAACAATTCATAAACAATCTCATTTCATCTGTACCCCTACCCGTTGCCTATTCTAATATTATTTCAAAGCAAATACCAGGCATGATATAGTTTTAATTGTAAATATTTCAGTGTATCTCTCTAAAAGATGTACACCAAAAAATTATTACCAATTTCTTAATGTTATAAAATACATAATTAATGTTCAAACTTTTTCAAATGTCTCATAAACACATTTTTGGAATGTGTTCAAATTAGAATTCAATTAAGAGACATATATTATAATTGATTGCTATGTCTCCTAAATCTCTTTTAAGCTGTAGGTTCCCTCTCCATATCTGTTTTTCTTCCCAGCAATATTTTGTTGTTGTTGTTAAAGAAACCTGGTCATTGGTCCTATAGATTTTCCCCCAGCCTGGGTTTTGCTGATTGCATTCTTTTGTTGTCATTCAGCATATTCCTCTCTTCCTCACATTTCCTGTAAATTGATTTTCCAGGTAATGAGCTATATAGGAATATAACTGGACGATAAAAGGCAGACGTTTAACTTTTTGTTAAGTTTCTCCTTTTTGTCCCTGTAAGAAGTTAGGTAAGAGTGTGGCTGTCCCAAAGAGGTGTATAGTAAGTGGAATTTATTGCCCAAACCTATGCGAGCAAGCCTTAAATATTTAGTATGATAACAACACAAACTTCTGTTTTTCGTTTCTGCTGTTCTCTGTAACATTCAATTCTTTGTTAACAGTTTAGGTGAAAAGGGGACATGGATATTGAAGACACTAACTTAAATTGTTCAATTTTTTTAGTCCCTAGCAACCTTGGATAAATATATAATAAAAAAAGAAGTTCAAAGCAATACCTAAAATTAGATGTTTGGAATGCTCACTGTCCAACTATACCCTTGAACCTTATGATAAACTATAAGCAAAAGCTGACTGTGTGGTTTTCAAATCATTAATAACAGAAGCATATTGAGTAAGTATAATAGAGTGGTTATAATCACAGATTTTGGAATTCAATAGAAACGGGTTCAAACAGTAGCTCTGCCACTGACCAGCTGTGTGATCTTGGGTGAGCAACTTAAATTTGGTAAGCCTTAGTTTCCTCAGCCATAAAAGGAAGATAATATCTACCTTATAGCATTAATGAGAAGCAAATGAAATAAAATAATTACATAAAGTATCAATCTCATTGTTGATGTTATTTTTCCCTCTCTGAGGGCAGAGACCAAGCCTGATTTACCATCATATTCCGTGGTGGTCTGCTCAATTTTTTTTTAATTGGAGAGAATCTCAACTGGATTTAGCCATGATCAGATTGCACTGAGAACTGGTTGGATATGAGACTAATTCAATCCAGTTGTGTCAAAGTAGCCTAGGTTTCGGTGTCGTGGGGACTAGCCAGCATCTGACTCTGCAGTATTCCCTATTGAACAGCATGAAGTCATGGACAATGCTCTTCAAAGGCCAGCCTAGGAGTCAAGAAACTGCAGTACATCGCCTTTCTTAGCTAAAGTGTTTCATCTGATCAAGGTTAAAGAAATTATAATTTCTTATCAGATGCAAGAGCGATGCCCGGTAGTCACCGGTAGGAATTATAATGTAAATTAATTCTGAGTCCTTAGGAACTCTAAGGATAGCTTTCTACTCAGAGTCATATCATGATGTTGTACAAGGACACCCACTCAGTCCAAGTGGGTGAAGACAGCAGGACTGCTCATCTCCGAGCACTGAGGCCCAGGAGAGAGGCTGGGAAAACTAAGGCATCTCTCGTCCCATCCTTGAGAGTTGAACAGATAAGTATGGGGTTGAGAAGGCCCATAACGCATGATGAAAAAAATGCATGCGTCTCTCTGATATTCCCTGCATTCAGCAGTTTACTTGGGTAAGGGGATTGGTTCAACTACGGGAAGAGAGTCAGAGGCTGACCGGAGAAGAAACATGGGGTTGTCCTAGCCCTTCTGCTTTCATGAACCCTCTGTGTTCTAAAATGAATTTGAACTCAATTGATCCGAATTTGGCTGTGGGTAGAGACCGCTAGTAGAGAGCATCCATCAAGCTGGGTGTCAGGGGCTAAGAGAAGGTAACAGAAAGGGAAGAGTAGTCTTGAAAAGTGGAATTACCAACCTATAAGGAATCATATCAATGAGCGTCCTGCTGCTTTCTGTGGCCATGTTTATCTTGTTGGCAAATGCACTAAAGCCAAGAATCTGTAGGGGTTAAAAAAAAAAAAAGGCAAACAATCATCTAAAAATTATTTTACATGTTGCTTCCAGGCGCACAGGTGCCCTTAGCATCTGGCAGGACAGGGAATGAGATACGTGACAGCCCCCATTCATGAAGGTGGGAGAGAGGGCCAGTTCAATGGAGCAAGAGAGGCCCACCCTGACTCTTTAGTTCCCCAAACTCTTTTTAGCATTGTAGTCAGAATGAAAAGCAACTTCATGCTTGGTGTCTGACAGAATAATAGGAATAAATGGATGCCCTGGGTTTGCGTTTCCTCACCAACTTTAAACATCTAGAGCAAATATAAACACGTTTTCAGATAATAGCTGTATCAAAGCCTCCGTTTTAAAAGTTTTTAAATCTAGGTGTGTTGTGCCAGCATAAATAAACCTTTGGGGGGGATTATTGAGGTGTATTGAGAGTCGTATTACTGGTTAACCCTTAATAATATGGAACAGCATTTGATAACACAAGGAAGAAGGTCTTCAGCAAAGCAATTACATGCCTTCCCCCCCCACACCTCATTCATTTCTAAAATAGCAAGTCTCCCTTCCATTTCCACTAGAAAGGAAAACAGACAACCTATCAGCTGTGATACCTTGGAAAGACCTCACACTAAAAGCAAATTAAACCAGAGACAAGAGAACTCAATGTCTAACTTTTAAAATAATAATTATATAGTTGATTTACCCCACTCTCCTCACTAACCCATAAATTTTTTCCCAGCATCTACTCAAAGAGTTGAACCGGACACTGAGCAGGATAGCAGTTGGTTTACCTGGGATGCTATGATCATATGAAGACCCCTAGGAAGCCTACAGATCAGAATGGAAGGAAGAACCTGGACCACGGCTTGAGTCAGAGAAGAAGAGTTTGGTCTTTACATAGTTAAGGGACAAGCAATGTGGCAAGTAGTCGAGGAACTCTTTTATTTCCATTGTATAGATAATACTTCCTCATAAAGAAAAATAAAGTATGAAAAATTTAAAAAGCAAAAATAAATCACCCAAAAACAACTATGTGGTGTTTGCTATACAGCTTAAACAAATGGTGTTTGCTACACAGCTTCAATACACACACTAATACATTGTGAACATACAGTAGATATCATTTCTTATAGCTATGGGACTCTTGAATTATTTGTCAGTATATTCTACCTGGATCCAGATATAGCCTTGAAAATTTTCATTATTATTTGAGACTGCTACCTTCAGGACATACTGAGGTGTGTGTGCGCAGGTTGCTCCAGCACATCTAAACAGCCTTTCTTGATGGGTGTGTGAGAAGCGTTTTACACCTGAGGCTACAGCAGCTCTCATCCTCCCTCTGCCACTTATCTCACCAGGGGAATCCCGGAGTCCTCTTTCCAATTCTAAGCAGCGTCCCCATCCCTGCTGCATGGCAGAAAGCATTCCCAGTCACGTGACATGTGTCTAGCTAGTCTACTCTAGGCTTCAATAACCTTTGAGTATAAATGAAGTCACAAAAATGTTTCATTCCTCGACTGCAATAATTCTAAGACTTCATCTACCTGTATTGCTGGGCCTCAGCTTCCTCCCTCACTCCATTTTATGGTGCACTCTAATTATTTACAGCAACCCCCAAAGGAACGTCTTCACGGTGGCTCCTGCACGGATCTGTCAGCCATAGGAAAGCCACAGCATCCTCCACACTCTCACTTCTCTCCTTTCCTAATAACCCTGGTTAACGTTCATTGCCTTGAGGTTGCTTGAAGGACTATCACTATGATTCCTGCTGTTGCTGTCTCTTAAGAGAGGGCTGATTTCTGACAGCATGGAGGGGCCTTGAGGGCATGATGCTAAGCGAAATAAGCCAGACAGAAAAACAAATATTGCGTGGTGTCATTTATATGTAGAGCCTAAAAAAACAAAACAAAACAAAACAAAAACTAGTCACACTCATAGAAACAGAGAGTAGAAAAGTGGTTGCCAGGGGCTGGGGGGTGGGGGAAATAGGAAAAAGTTGGCAAGAGTGTGCAAACTTTCAGCTACAAAATGAATAAGGCCTGAGGGCCTAATGTATAAATAACATGGTGACTATAGCTGATCACATTGTATTGTATAATTGAAATTTGATGAGAGTAGAGTTTAAATATTTATACACACACACACACACACACACAATAAATACATGAGGTAATGGTGGTGGATGTGTTAATTAACTAGATGGGGGCGTGCTTTCACAATATATATATATCAAATCACCATGATGTATGCTTTAAATATCTTATAATTTTATATGTCAATTATATCTCTATAAAGCTGAAATGAGAGAAAAAGAGCTCATGGCTGTGTCACAGATGCCATCTGCTAGTGACTCCAAAGCCTCAGTTTCTGAAGGTGCCAGAACCGGGGTGGGTTCCGTGAGGAGAGGTTGCCCCTGACTCCCCTCCCCAAACATCACATGAACATTGTCTCCTGAGCTCTAAGGCACTACCATGTTTTGAAAAGTCTTTTGTAAAAGCAGCCTTTCAGCTTCTGGACTTTATGAATTAATAGTTTTTTAAGTACTCCAAGGAAGAAAGAATACACACTTCTGAAAGAGGTAGATATATAACGGTTATGAGACAGAGCTTGGTCTCAATTTCCAAAGCAATTCCCATACTATTTCAATCATGAACAGTATAGACCTGAATTAGTTAGTACAGGATAGGTTATGATGCTATGGCAACATACAAACCATGAGAGCTTAACACGTACAAGTTATTGTTTGCCTGTACAATCAGCGTCTCTCTCGGGCAGCTTTCTGGCAAATGGTGCCTCAGGAATTCAGGCTAATTCTGCCTGTGGTTTCTATCATCTCAACATGCAGCCCCTATGACTATCACAGCAGGGGAAGACAGAGCATGGGGACTCACACCTAGTCTCCTATGCTTTGGCCCCAAAGTCACATGGTCCTGCCTACTTACAAGGGTGGCTGGGAAATACAGGGGAGCACACGGATATTTGGTGAACTGTAAGTATCTCTGCAACAGAACACTTCTCAAGGACACCCCCAAAGATTCAACGATCCTAGTATGAGAAATGCTGACTTAAAAACCTGAGCTTTATATATGAAAATATCTGTATCATTGCAAAAATGTTAATTATTATAGAAAAAGATAAGTTTTACCAGTGGATTTTTAAAAAGAAACAAGAAATGTTATCATTAGACAGTGGTGAGCCCTGCTCTGCCGCTTACTAGTGATGTGGATTAGGCAATTCATTTCATATCTCATCTCCTTTAATTTCTTTATCGTAGCATAATGAGAATGAAAGGGGGCTGAATAACAGTATGATTGCAACTATACTAAAATAGAAACAAAACTTCTACATAAAACGGAAATTCATCAACACTGAGCACAGGCCTGCCATATATTTGTTTGAAAGAAGAAAGGGCTGAAAAACTGAAAATCAAAAAGTATTGAAGTTGACTTTGGGTGGTGCAGCTATAGGAATTTCTTTTTCTCCTTTTTATTTCTTATGTTTTTAAAAATGGTTAGGATGAGCCTGTATTACTTTTACGAAGCGGAAAAAACCCCACCTATTTTTAGGTAGTATGAAAAAGAGGCAATAGAGAAAAGTCCTTTGAAAATAAGTATGTTTTACACATATAAGCTAGTACGTATTTAAAACTAAATGTATTCAGCCTTGTCACAATTCAACATTTTTAAAAATATTATTTTTATAGTCTTTTATGAATCTTTCCCTTCCTAGGGTGCTTTTTGTTTAACTTTAAAAAGATCATTTAAAATGATCTGAACCATGAATTAGAGGCATCAAAACACCTACCAGAAAAAGTTCCATGGGAAACTCAATGGGGTACTGATTGAAGGAAATTCGGATACATTTGTTGATTCTCAGAGCAACAACAGCAGTTAGAAATAGTAGGATGCTCGTAGAATTAGCTTTTGGGAGAGACATACAGTAGTTAACTATGTTCTGAAAGAAAACAAAATTACAGAGGCTTAGAAAGGGATATAATAATTGCCTAAAATCTAGAAAATGACCCTCTTTCTATATTAGTTCAAAAAGAAGTCCCTCGGGCCGGCCGAGCGGCGCGATGGTTAAGAACTCGCTTGGGACGCCAGAGGGCCCCGGTTCGGATCCCACATATGAGGGCCAGTGACACTGCCCTCCACAGCTAAGATGCTGAACAACAGCTCAACCTGGAGCTGGGCTGCTGTGAGTCGCCCGCTACGGCGTAGGCTGCAGCCCCTGTGGCAGTGGGTTGCCATGGGCTACCGTATGTAGCCAGCAGCCAGGGTGAGCAGCCAGCAGCCGCAGTGAGCGGCCGTCCAGAAGCCGGTGACTGATGTGCCTCGCCCGGGAAGAGCGCAATGATGGTACCAACTTGGGCCAGTGAAGCAACGTCCTCCACAACTAGACTGAAGAACAAAAGGACAGCAACTTGTCTGTTCCCCTTCCCCCAATTCCGCAGCACTGTTCCCATCCCCCCAATTCCCCAATAAAAATCTTTAAAAAAAAAAAAGAAGTCCCTCGGCAGTGCTGCTGAGCGCAGAGGGCTTTATTACTAGAGCATTATGAGAATAGGGAGACCAAGTGGGTAGATATGTATTTTTTTAAATTGAGAAAGTGATATTAAAAGACAGTAATGCCCAATAAGGACAGAATACATTTTGTATATTTCAGCGTAATGGAAAGGGCCCAGGAGTTGTGTTTATTAGCCTATTGTTTACTAATTTTCTCAGACCATCTATGTTCTTTAGCTTGGCTCCTACACCATTCTTGCATTTGGGGGTTACTTAGCATTTTATATTCTTTAGCTGCCTTTAGGATACATGTCCATTATGAGGCATGTAATGGGAAGAATTATGAAAGAGACAATATCTTACAAACCAAATTTTAATGTAAATCATGTAGGTTTAAAAATCTGGGCAAAATGGTTCATGAAACTGAGAACATGGTCCAGCTGTAATTAATCAAGACTAAATCTAGATGAGATAAAATTATTTCCAGGACCCTCTTCACCCAGCTGCCCATGCAGGGGTCTTTCCACTCGGATCCACTCCTTTTTGGAGGCAAGGGCGGGGTGAGGGTAGAAATTACTCACATAGAAGAAGGCGATAGGACCAGCGTGGAAACTAATCGTAATTCCAAAGATGCAAGTCAGCTGGGACACTATAATGTGCAGTGCCGTAGCAGCCAGGTAAGCATTTATCACAGCCTCCGGAAGGTAAGTGGCAATGAAGCCAAAACCCAGCATGCCCATGGACAGCTGCAGGGGGTTCACACGGAAAAGAAAACACAGTGAGGCAGAATGTCACCAAACCAGCCATGACACCAATTAGGTTCTCTTCAGGGTATTTTCAACACAAAAGTTAGGTGAGGCCCCTCTGATAACTCTTCTGTTTCTCTTTCTCTAATCCACTAAAATTAATGAGATGAGGTTGGTCCTTGGTGTTCATTTAGGGGCTCCCTAGGGCACTAAGCCACACTTCCTTCTTCACAGGCACTTAAGCTTGATTCCTTGCCCTAGAATCTGCTGACCTTGTTGACTTAGGGTAAATGGTAACAAAGTGATCCGAGCAAGCTTTTGCCTTTTTAAAGGCTCTTTCATTAGAAGTCCTGATAGCCCTTTCTAGGAGATGTTACCATCTCCTTTGAGGGATGCAGTGACATCTCCTTTGAGGGATGCAGTTTTTCACAAAGGCAAAGACAATTTAAAAAACCTGAGTTCCATCTTCTTGGCTTTTGACTCATTTTTACTAAGAATGATTAAACTGAATTTATCTCATCAGGATTTCATATATATATTATATATATATATATAATATATATATGATCTATATGTAAAACATAGTATTTTAGATATACATATGCATATATAATATATACATATATATTTTAAATGTTATGTAATATATAATAAATTATATATGCCGGGGGTGCCAAAAAAATGTATACACATGACTTGTATTCATCTTTTGTTATGGGTATATACTGAGTATTACAATATGAATACAGTTTTTCTTTTCTTAAAATGTGCATACTTTTTTTGGGTACCCTCTGCATATATATTTCTAAATATATAAAAGATCTAAAGGATAGACACTAATCTATTTACAGAAGTTGCTTTTGGGGAATTAAAGGTTGGTGGCAATACTTTATAATTTATATATTTTATTATTTGAAATTTTTGCAATATGTATGCCCATCTTTTATAATAAAAAACACAATTGGAAAACTAACGGATAAACCCCAAACCCCTTATGAGGGTAGATAAACTGGCACGGCACAATGAAGAAGATGGGGAAAAGAAAACAAATCTTGAAGCCTACTATTGTCACCACTTCATCTTCCACTGCATTAGAAGCTCCCAGAGAACAAACAAACTTGGAAGAGTAAACCTTTTAGCTTTAAAAGCTCTTTGTTGCCAGTCTTCCAGTCAGCTGGGTGCTGTGTCTCCCTTAATCTCCTGTCATTACCAACCCAACAAGCTCCTCTACTCAAGTCAACCCAATCTGCTTCCTGTCTTTTGTGTGATTGGCTGATTTCTACTTCTGTGCTTATGCACGAACCCCTCTTTTTTTGCCGTGTCTGCTGATCCATGTCCATCCTCTCTTTCAAGAGCTTAATAAAACTCCCCTCCTTTAGGAGGCGTGATGAAAAGAGCATGATTCTGAGGGAGGGAGAATTTGGCTTCTATCCTGGCTCTGCCGCTCATTGGCTGTGTGAGTTTGAACAAGTTAATTAAACTCGCTAAGCCTCAGTTTTCTAACCTATAAATTGTGAATAATACTCAACATGCAGGGTTTTGTATGGAATACGTTACATAATACCTGTAAAACACTTAGCTCAAATCTGAAAATAGTGACAGGTGCAAATGCCTATCACTCATTCTTCCTGCCATCCTTTCCTTCCACCTTGTAAACAGCAAATTTCTACAATGAACTATAAAACTCTTTCTTGGCCAGATGTTATGTGGCATCAAAATCTGTGTTAATATCGTTTTCTAGGCAGCAATTTTCAATCAGTCAGAGTTGGCCTGTGATACGAAACCGATCTGCCATTCTTACAGAAAGCAAGTACTGAATGGTGAATGAATGAAAGAAAGCCTCAATAAATGGTTGTTTCCTTCCCAGAGAGCTCCAACCCAGCTAAAGATTATTCCTTTACTTGATATTCTTTTGACACTGAACTCTTCACTTTTATTAATATTTGTTTTCACTTTAAGATTATCTAAAGCACAGATTCTGCAGGTGGATTAGCCTGAGCCTGAATCCCAATGTAAAAGCTAGCTATGTGACCTTGGACAATTCATTTAACCTTGTTATACCACTGTTTCCTTAAAATAAGGATCATAGTAACACTCACCCTCAAAAAGGGGTGTTTTGAGGATCAAATGAGATAATACACGTAAAGTGCTTTGAACAGTGACTGGCACATAGCAATAAATGTTAGATACTATCATCTAGTTCAGACTTCTTTAAATTTAAACTCTTTGTTTTAGATCATTGTAGATTGATATGCAGTTTTGTCAGAAACAAAATAGAGAGATTTGATGTACTCTGTACCCAGTTTCCTCCTAACGGTAACATCTTGCAAAACTGTAGGACAATACCACAATTAGGATATTGACATTGATATACCAAGATATAAAATAATTCCATCACCACAAGGATCCCTCCCCTGTTGTCCTTTCATAGCCAACCTCTACTTGCTTCTCACCCTCATCCCTATTCTCAAGTTCCATCCTCCTACCTCCACTCTCATCCTTAGCCCCTGGCAACAATATGTTTTCCATTTCTATAATTTTGTCACTTCAGGAATTTTACATAGGAATCATCAATATGTAAACTTTATGTTCAATTCCATTCATTTTTGTTCTTCATTATTTCCTTCCTTCTGCTTGTTTTGGATCTAATTTGATCTTGTTTTCCTAGGTTCTTGCATTGCGAGCTTAGATTATTAATTTGTGACTTTTTCTTTTTTCTACCATATGCATTGTAGTGCTATACATTTCCTTCTTAGCACTGCTTTAGCTGTGCCTCAGAAATTTTAGTATGTTTTATTTTCATTTACCCTAATGTATTTTTTTTTAATTTCCTTAAGACTTCCTCTTTAACCTAAAAATTATCTAGAAGTGTGTTGTTTAGTATCCAAGTATTAGGGGATTTTCCTGTTAACGTTCTGTTATTGAGTCCTAGTTTGATTCTACTATGGTCAAAGAACAAACTGATAACAAGTTGTTTAAATTCATTGATGTTAGTTTTATGGCACAGGATATGGTTTATCTTGGTACATGTTCCATGGGTCTTTGAAAAGAATGTGTGTTCTGCTGTTATTAGATGGAGTGTTCTGCAAATGTCTCTTAAATCCTGTTAGTTGATAGTGTTGTTGAGTTTTATTATTTTCTTGCTGATTTTCTGTGTAGTTGTTTCATCAATTATTAAAGAGAGGGATGTTGAAGTCTCAAACTATAACTGTGGATTTGTTTATTTCTCCTTTCAGCTCTATTAGTTTTTGCTTCACATATTTTGTAACTCTGTTGTTTGATGCATACACACTTAGGATTGCTATGTCTTCTTGGTAGAGTGATTCTTTTATCATTATATAATGTCTCTCGCTACCTCTCGTAATTTTCTTGGCTCGGAAGTGTACTTTATCTAATATTAATATAGTCAATCCTGCTTTGCTTTGATTTATATTTGCATGCTATAGCTTTCCATTCTTTTACTTTCAACCTATTTATATCATATTTGATGTTTCTTGTAGACAGCATATTTTAAATATGTCAATCTCTTTAATGTAAATGTCGGTATGTTAGGGCTGTAGTCTGCCATTTTTCTGTTTGTTCTGTTTTTCGTTTCTCTTTTTCTGTTTCCTAACTTCTGTGGGCTACTTGAACATTTTTACAATCCTATTTTTATTTATCCATAGCATTTTTTAGTGTATCTTTGTATAGCTTATTTAGTGCTTGCCCTAGGTATTATATTATATATACATAATATTACAGTCTAGTGGTGTCGACAGTTTACCAATTCAAGCAAACTATAGAAACATTACCTCCCTTTATATTTGTTTATAAAAGAATTGTTTTAAATATTAATATTTCTTCTATGTGCATTTTGAATCAGATCAGACAGCATTATAATTTTGCTTCTGCCATCAAACATAATTTAGAAAAACCAAGAGAATAAGAAAAATCTATCATATTTATCCATATTTTTACTCTTTCCATTGTTCTTTCTTCCTTCCTGATATTTCAAGATTCCTTCTTTTATCCTTAACTTTCTTTTTAGAGAAGTTTCTTCAGCCATTCTTTGGGGGGTAGGTCTGTTTGTGACAAATTCTCTTAATTTTCTTTCATTTGAGAATATGTTGACTTCCCCTGCCTTCTCAAAGGATATTTTCACTGGGTATGTGATTTTGGATTGACAGTTTGTTTCTTTCAGTGAATAAAAAAATTGTACCACTTCCTTCTGGCCTCTGTGGTTTCTAATAAGAAATCTGCTGTCATTTGAATTGTTTCCTCCCCATAGGTAAAGTGATTTTAATATTTTTTTTATTATCTTTAGCTTTCAGAAGTTTGACTATGATTTGTCTTGGTGAGGATTTCTAAGGATTTATCTTCTTTGAGATTTTCTCAGCTTCTTGAAGCTGTAGGATTACATCTTTTTGCCAAGTTTGGGGAAATTACAGATATTATTTCTTCAAGTAATTCAGCCCCATATTTTTTCTTCTTTCTTTCTGGACTCTTACAACACAAATGCTAGATCTTTTGTTACAGTCCCACTTGCCCCTGAGGCTCTGTTAAATTTTTTTTCAGTCTATTTTGTTTTTCAGATTGGATAATTTCTATTGTTCTTTCTTAAAGTTCATTGATTCTTTCTTCTGTCTCCTCTATTCTGCTGATGAGCCCATTCTTTAAATTTTTAATTTTGTTTATTATATTTTTTTCTGTTTTAAAATTTCCATTTTGGTTCTTCTTTATATTTTCTATTTATTTCATGAGAATAAAGTTGGGGTTTTTTTTTTATGTGTTTCAAACATGTTCATAATTGCTTGCTGAAGCATTATTAGGGTGGTTGTTTTAAAATCTTTCCAGATAATTCTAACATCACTCAGTGTTGGCATCTTTTTATTGTCTTCTTTTTTTTTTTTCATTCAATTTGAAATTTTCCTGGCTCTTGGTATGACAAGTGGTTTTCAATTCAATCATACATTTGGGAACTATGCTATGAGACTTTGGATCTTATTTAAACTTTCTGTTTTAGCTAGCCTATTTTGGCAAGTGCTGTTAAGGGAAGGAGAGGGTGCCACCTTGTGATTGCCTGGTGGAAGTAGAAGTCTAGGTTCTCCCCTCAGACTCCACTGACACCTGAGGCAGTAGGGACTCTTCATTATTGATGGGCAGGGGCCTCCACTAGGCCTCCACTGATACTATCCTGGCTGGGAGAAACAGGAATGCCTTTACTTCTCCCCACATGGCCTCCAGTGATACTACAGCAGAGGGGAGTTGTCCTAATTACTGCCATGTGGTAGTGAAAGACCTGCTGCCCCTTCACAGCGCCTTCTCTGACACAACCCTAGCAATGAGTAGGAAGGGTGTCTCATTACTGTCCAGTGGGGATGAAAGTCCTGACTCTTTATATGGTCTTTTCTCCTTCTCTGACACACCCCAGTTGGGGTGGTTACCTCATTACAGCTGGTGAGGGTGAAAGTCGAGGCTCCCCACTTGGCCTTCACTGGCATGAATGGTGGTGACACCACAGTTCTGTTTTTTCTTGGTGTTTGTCTGGAGTAGATCAGTTATTGTGTACATGTATTTAGCCTTGCTAGCCTTCCCTGGTCCTGTGGCTATAACGTACAGACTTTTGCTGGAGCTTTATTTTTTGTCTGCACTTGTTGGCATTTTGGATTTCTGGTTTCTTCAGCACCAAGATTGAGATCTATGAAGCAAAAAGAAAACCCAGGGAACTCACCACTGTGTTGTTCCTTGTGTCCTAAGGTTCCAAGCCAGTTTGCCTTCTTCTCTCCACCTTTCAGAGTCTTCTTACGTTTGCTTTATATATAATGTTCTAAGGTTTCAAGTTGTACTTAGCAGGAGGAATAGGGAAAAGTACATCATTCCATCTTCCTAGAAATGAAATGTCTCCTCCTTTATTAAGTGAAAAACTGAGGCTCAAAGGAGGGAACAGGACATGTCCAAGGCCACTTAGATAATTAATAGGTTACTGACTTTTGCCTGTAATTTTGTCTTCTACAAGACTGATTTTTTTTTTTAGCTGAGCCATCCTGCCACCTGTTGGCAGCACAGCAGCAGCTCAGCTTAGGTCAGGAATCGAACCGGCAACCCTGTTGCTCAGAGCTTGCACTCTTGAGCGAGGTCTTAACCAACTGGGCCACTTGGCCCGCCCCAAGATTGATTGTTTTTAAACTACAGGAATTATATCTTTTTTTATTTTGGGTGTCTATTAAAGTGCCAAATTCATTTCTCTGTACCCAGTAATTATAATTTATTGATGCTTACTAAGTGACAGGCTCTGGGCTGAGTGTTTTACGTGCATTCTCTCACTTAATCCTCATATGAAACCTACAAAACAAATATTATTATTCCCATTTTATGCATTTGAAAACTAAGGCCCACAAAGGTAAGATAATTTAAGTATGTTCATAGAGCTGGCAAATGTCAGGGCTGGGGTCAGCCCTCTATGATAGCCTGCCTTTGTAGGCTCCCAATAAATCCTTACCTAATGAAAGTTGGTCCCAAAGGAGATCAGTGACATTAGGTAGAGAGTGGTTTAGTTAAAAACAAAGAGAAATAAGTCTGGAATGTTTGACTTTATTTCAATGGGTAAAGCTTTATATGGTAGACTCTCAGTAAAAATTAAAGACACTGCCAAAAATAAGTTTTGAAATTTTAATAAGTCATGGGTATTACTGTCCTTTAGCAGTGGCCCTATCATTGGGGAAAAAGATCCCAGTTCTGACTCTTACACTTGCTAACCCCAAATATAGCATGTGAGCCTACCAGTGCTGCTCTTGTTGAAAGACTATAAAAAAAATGTAAAAGCATGAAATCATGAGTTGAACTCTAGACCATAGTCTCTAGGACCCTTCTTTAATCTTAGAGAAGGGACTGATGAGAACATTCAATATCTCGTCCTAAATCAATGGTAGATGATTTCTGACAGGGGAGAAGTTTTGTCATTGAGGAGACATCCTATCCACATATCCCACAAGTTTTCCAAAAATAAATCACTGAAGTTCTATATATGTCATAATGGATAACAGGAGCAATTAAAGAAAGAGGTAATTTTGTAGCCCCTTTATTTATTTGTTTCTCCTTCAGAGGTTCAGAGACTCAGGTCCTACCTGAATAATCCCAGTGAGAAAAGTAGTGGACGCCACCACACTCAAGGACCTGTTATAAGCCGTATAGAACAAGGGGTTAGAAAAGTCATCTTTGATGAAAGTCCCCAGTATCAGGTGGCCTCTGTTGAATGGGTTCGATCTCAGGACATCCACCATCAGAGCACTCACAAAGAAGAATGGACCTAGTGAAAAAGATGTTTAGACAGAAGGTGAGGTTTTAAGTCCAGGTAAACTGACAGATACTGACAAAATCAAGGCATGGCTGATATTATTTTTGTCGTTGATCTGAAGAACTTTTCTTATTTTAAAGTGGCCATTGAGAAGCAAGAAAGGACAGGAAAAGAACTCTGGTTTCACAAACCGACCAACTCACAGAATTTAGATGTTGGCGGTCCATATGAAGTGGGCATATGAAGTGGGATTGAAAGAGAAATTGACTGGAAATATGTATCAGGTACAGCCACTGTGTTTGTTCACAGAAATGGTGAAAAGTGAGATGGTGGTGTAAGTATCAGAAAACAAAGCTAATCAATAATAATAATACGAAGAATACCTAATACTTATAACACCGCACACTTACAGAGGATTTACTAGGTGCAAAATGACACCGAGCTGAACCTGTTTCAAACATAAATTCATTTAGTCCTCAAATCGACATATGTATGGGAACAAAGGCAAATCTTAATTTTAAATTACTTAACAGAAACAAAACTCTAATAGCCCTTACTATCAGTATTTGGAAATAATTGTAACATGCCCCAGGAACTTGGAATTATGGGAATAAAATTGTCTCTCAATGTTCAAATATGAAATCAACACCTAATGGATCTTAGTAAAGATATGTGATATTGTCCTTTAAAAAGGAAGAGTGGCACCACTTCTAGGAGAACGGGGTGGCCACCAGGCTGAACACACAAACTCATCTGGAGAAAATGTGTGTCAGTCAGAATTATCAATGCTGGTTGTGTGGGGAAGCCCAGGAAAAGGCACTTCACTGAGTGAATGTTGGCAATGCCCTTCCAAGACTGTTGGGGCATTTTGTGATTTGGTTTCTATGCAGGTTCACCTAGGTCAGCGGTTCTCAACCTGTGGGTCGCGACCCCATTGGGGGTCGAACGACCCTTTCACAGGGGTCGCCTAAGAGCATCGGAAAACAAAAAGATATTTACATGACGATTCATAACAGTAGCAAAATTACAGTTATAGAGTAGCAACGAAAATAATTTTATGGTTGGGGGTCACCACAACATGAGGAACTGTATTAAGGGGTCACGGCATTAGGAAGGTTGAGAACCGCTGACCTAGGTGAATGAAATGTGCTAATTATATGACCTTTGCTAGTCTGGTGCCTGGAATGGTCATTTCTAATTATAAACTGGTAGATGGACTTCGGACTCTGGGAAAGAAAGTGCTCATGCTATGGATTTGAGTGCTTTGATTACTATGACAGCATTTTCACATTGTAAATTAATAAGCGGACATGATTATTATAATATATATCAGGCCCACAGAGTTCAGTTATTATGGGTCCTGCTGAAAGATGGATCCACGCTAGGAGTTTTAGCATCATTACTGGATCTTCCTGGTTAAGGGCAGTCAGATACCAATGTGTGGTAATTTCACCAAAGGAAGTACTTCTGTCCTTTAATTACTCTGGGAAACAGCCTGCTGGCCTGTTTATCTGGTAGTGACATTAATGATGACACACTAGAAGTGTTCCATTTCTAAAATCTGAATACTAATCCTATGGATACAATGTCCATCTTCTGTATCCTTTCTTTCTACCTTAAGCATAGCTTTAAGTTGAGTTACTTAGCAATAAGTAAATAATTAAGGTGGGGACTTCATCCACCTCCTGTGGTTCCAGTACTGAACTCACCAATGGACATTTGATGACATGATCCCAAAATTACATAAATTACCGAAGAACAGAAAGCTGCGTATGAGACATTGAAAGGAGGAATCAGTTGCCTTGCCAGCAAACTTAACGTCAGGACTGAAAAACAAGATGATTTAAGTAAGAAGAGGTAGCCTGGCTTTTAAACGTCACCTTAAATAAAAGCTATAAAAAATATTTAAAATAAAAATGATCTACGTATACAGCTGAATATGGTAATAGTATCCCTTGGCATACAGCCTTTAATTAGTACCTTTTATTATCTCCTTTGATTCCTAGCTTCTTACCCTATTGTACCACATACTTTTACACCTCAATTCTAAATCATAGACTTAAACACCTTTCACTGTGAGGTCTTCATGCTAATCATAGGAAGCAAACATCACAGCAATATGACCTCTTATTCCAACAGCGCAGAGGCAGCCTCACTTACACCCTGAGCCTTAGTACAAGAAGACCCTGGTAATTCCCCAGGACTGGAGGTAAAGCTGGAGAACAAGGCAAGAATCACACTTAACTGACTTGACTCCAAGTTGGTACGTGCTGTCTCTCTTCCATGTGCTAATCACCCTCATCTCTTCCTCCAGCTCCTTCTTTAATACTTACTTTCTTTTCTAAAAAGCACCATGAGAATTAGGGAATTTTGAAGCAAATGGATTAACATGCATGGTATCATCCCTTTGATGTCTCAAGCCCCATAGCTCCTGCCCAGAAGCGCTCAACTTACATCATACCTGTGTGTTCATCTGAATTCAGTTATGCATCCAGTGAGCCAATTTATTGTCTCAGACAAGCAAGGCTTTTGTTATGGAAAAGTTCAAACATATACAAAAATAGAGTATAATGAACTCCGGTGTATCCATCACCCCCCTCAACAATAGTCAATTCATGGCCAATCTTGTTTCGTCTATGCCCCTACTTCCTCTCCCACTCGGTATTATTTTGAAGGAAATCCAAGACATTACATCATTTCATCTGTAGATAGTTCAGTGTGTATCTTTAAAAGAAGACCCTCTTGGGCCGGCCGAGTGGCGCGATGGTTAAGAACTGGCTTGGGACGCCAGAGGGCCCCGGTTCGGATCCCACATATGA